TTAACAAGTAATCAAATTGGCTTTCTATTTGTCTGGCACAAATCATACATAAATGGCTGTGCTAGGATGGCTACAGGAATAAACTGAGAAAAAATGGAGGTCTCCCTCCATAGGAGGGCACCAGAATGCCGAGGCCTATTCATGTTATATTTCAATGTGGGAGCTGTGGAAGTGCCCAAATTCAGAAGTGAAGAAGCTCAAGGGCTGGAAGACACCATAAAGACCCTTAAATCCAACCCATATTGCCCCCTACACAAAACCAAAAAGACCCTGCCTCAGACACTTACTAATTGTATAACCTTACACAAGTCACTTAACCTTGATTTCCTCCCCCCTCCCCCTCAAAAAAAGAATAATACAAGAGATACTGTCAAATGGTTTGCTAAAATTCAAGGAAATCACATTTACAACATTTTCTTGGTCTATCCCTAGTAACTGTCAAAAAAGGAAATAAAGTTAGACTGTCCTGGCTCTGTGATCATTGCTTCCTTCTCTTAGATAGTCATCATCTACCCCTTTTAATAATAATTTAGATTTTTTCCAGAAGAGAAGGAAAGAGAATATGCATTTTAAAGCACCTACTATATGCCAAGCTTTTACATTATCTCATTTGATCCAGAAGTCAAAGTCAAGTTCTGATATTAGAGAGAACTCAACAAAGTCATAGAAGATGAAGAGTGGGGAGGGGCAGGGAATTTTTATCACAGAGAAGCCATTTGCCTTAAAATCTTACAGGGCCATTCCATGCTTTTATATTCAGCCTCTGTCACCTTCCTTGCTTCCACTTCTGTTCCAGGGTTTTAAAAATCAAAGTTGGCTGAATTCCTAGTTCATCAACACTGATCTTTTTAGACAACTCTCTTTTTCCTCTTCACAGCAATTGTTTCCCTGTAGAATTCTAGTTCTTGGGATCCTACCTGTCTTTTCGTGGAATTCTCTGAAACAGACTCTTTAAAATCTACAGTACAATTTCTTGCTTTCCTTTCCTTTTCCATTACAAATTCTAAAAGGATGTGTTTACAGGCTCCCAAGGTTCTTATCACTGGTATTGCAACAAACTGACTGTTCTATACACTTTTGTGTCATGCTTATAATCTCTTTTCAAAACTCATCTATTTTCTCTAAGTCCAAGCAGTCTGTGGTATACTCTGGTGACAATACCGCTTCTGTTTCTTACTGTTTTTCTCCACCCCAATGCTTTCCAACATGCTAATCTCCTCTAGTTCTTAAATTTTTCCTCATTAATTCAGCCTTTCAACATATAATGTTATTTGTCCCCTTTTCTCTATCCTATTTCTTTTTAATTAGGTCTAGATCCACATTCCAGTCACTTATCTTAGTCTTGTGAGGTTGAATTTTCCTTCCTTGCAAGTTTTTTTTTTTTAAATTTTGCCTGCTTGACATACTTGTGATTCATTACTGGCTCCTTTCTTAGATTTCATTCATCTGTCTTGAACTTCTAGATGTTTTTACAACTCTTCTTCCTACACTAGACACTTTCCTATGCTACTGGGAAAACAGATGCTATTCTATCCTCGAATGGCAATTCCCATGACTGACATATCTGTGTGCCAAACATGGTACTTCACAGCCACAAGGAGCTTAAAATTCTACAACTGGTAACTGGAGGATGAATGTAAAAACGCTTTGTATGGTATAAAGCACTATAAAATGTATGAATTTTATTTTCAAACTTACAGATGACACAAAGTTGAGATGGATAGCTAACCCACTGGATGACAGGATCAATATCCTGTCAGACAAAACTTTAACAAGACTGTGTCCACTTTAAAATAAATTTTGCTCTCCACGTCACTCAACCAAAAAGAAAGCCCTTTATGTTGGGATTTACAAGACATAAGACAAATACACTCTACCAGAACTCCATTCCTGGCCAGGAAACTGTCATTCCTATAGTTTAAGCTATGGTCCAGAAATCCAAATCCTATTTTTAGATACAGTTTCTTAACTAACTACTCGTTGCCCAAAGCTGCCTTTTCTTCTTATATCTATTGCCTTTGACAAGTGCTAGTGATGAAAATAACATTTATGCCCTTAAGTTCTCAAATCGTTTGCCAGAAACTTTGTACCTTTATCTGTGCTTTCTTCTGGCTGTATCATTTGTGCTCACATGAATGATACCTTAGCTACAGAACCACTTGTTTAGTATCCTTAAAATTGGTGTCAGTAGGTGCAAATGGGTCCCATTTCTATACTATAGATACGTTTCAAAAACTACTTACACTTATGATTTAAGGTTGTTGGATTTTTTGGTTTGGTTTTGTTTTTCTCCACAACAATCCTGGGAGGTAGTTAAAATAACATCCCTGTTTTATAGGGAGCCTCAGGTTAACTGACTCACCCCTAGTCACACAACTATTATATGCTGAAGCTAGGAAGCCAGTATCTCCTAAACCAGGGGCAGGGAACCTGAGGCCTCAAGGCCATATGTGGCCCTCTAGATCCTCAACTGTGGCCCTTTGACTGAATCCAAACCTCACAGGACAAATCCCCTTAGTAAAAGGATTTCTTCTCTAAAACTTAGACTCAAGCAAAAGGCAGCACCCAAGGACCTAGAAAGCCACATGTGGCCTTGAGGTCACAGGTTCCCCACCCTTGTGATCTAAACCCAAGTCCTTCTACTATAACTGCTATTGGGGGAAGAACTGTTATTCTATACTTGGATGGCAACTCCAATGACTGACGTATGACACTTCACAGCCACAAGGAGATTGAAATTCCAGGGCTAGTATTGAGAGAATGAATGTAAAAATGTTTTTCATGGTATAAAGCAGTATAAAACAAAAGCTAATTAGTTTTATTTTCAAATTTGCAGATGATACAAAGTTGGAATGGATAGCTGACACTGGATGACAGAATCAGTACCCCAAAAGACCTTGTCAGACTAAAACATCAAGCTAAACCTAACAAGATAAATTCAACAGGCATAAATGTTATCTTATAGTTGGGTTTAAAGAAATCAACTATAAATTTCATGTATGGGAAGCAATGCTAAGCATCAGTCTGTCTGAAAAAGAACTGGAGGCTTTAGAGGACTACAGTAAGAGAGAGGCATAGCTTTCAGGAATAAAGAGACCATAATCCCCCTGTAATCTGTCCTGATCAACCCACATGTAGGGTACTGCGTCCAGCTCTGGAAGTCAGCCACTGAGGAGAGCAACCAGGTGTGAAAGGCTTTCACTTCATGGGATATGAGGCTCAGTTGAAGAAACCAGAGATGTTTAACCTGAAGAAGAAAAGACGCCCGGGGCAGGGGGGAGGCGGTGGCGACGGACGACACGACATGATTGCTGCTTTGATTCTAGAGCACATGCAACGAGAACACTTCAGAATGCTTTGTTGTCCGTAGAGATATAATTTAATTGCATGGAGGACTTTATTATGTACCTGGTGACAGTGCTATCTATACATTGTGGAAACAATGACATACATACAAAACCACGTGCTATTACTTTCACAAATTCTAACTGTAACAGATGTTTCCGAGATTACAAGAAGCTACACAGAACAGAACCCTGGAAAAAGTTAAAGGCCTTTGATTAGAACATGAAAGATGACTGGAATCCTGAATTTTATACACTACTGCTTAGAGGGAGCTACAGATTACAAACATTTTAATATTCTAATGGAGTTGGATGGTGAAATTTATGAGAAATGAAGCACTCTTAAAAAGGAAAGATGGGAGCAGAGAGTAGAAAGGAGCCACACTAAAACTACCTGAATGAATAAATTATGAAAACATAATTCAAATTCATCATTAATGCCATTCTTAAAACAAAGTTTCACTGTCAGTACCAGAGATTTGGACCAGACCACTAAAACTACACTAAAATACTGGCCACTAAACCAAACATTAATATTAATTTTTAAATTAAAAAACATTGAATCACAAATCATACTGCATTTTTTTATAACCTAATGAATACATTTTGAGCAAAATGACTTAACGTGAACTAAAACATTCTCTCAACTAAATTAATGTTTCTCAACTAAATTAATGTTTTACTCAATCAGCAGGTGTGGAGATAGGATGAAAGACGGAGGAAGGGTCTATAAAGGACCCAAGATTTGCTGGTTAAGATAGAACAAGTCATCAAGACCTGAACATAGTTCTTTAAAAGAGGATGGATTTATTTCTTCCTCAGTTACCAATCACTGCAGAACACATTACCTCACATATCATAGGGACTTAATAGTTATTGCCTGATTACAAAGTGTAAGGGATTGGAGAGTATGATATTTGGAGAAGCATTTCTTATCAATATGAACATAAAAAGGATTCACTTTTTTCCCTAATGGATATAAAACCACAGGTTGGAAATACTACAATATTAGGTAAAGTCATTTTTCAATATAGTTTCATTCATTTTATTATTACAGATACTAGTCCTGTTTTTTTAATCTATTAGAAATCTCAAATTTCTTTTCTTTCTTTCTTCTGAACAAAAATCATTTCTACTATGTTCCTTGGTGTTACTTAATGCTATAGAACTCTATTGAAAACAAAGTATAGCATATAGTTAATCGTGCTCTTAAATGGCAAAGCTTTCAGCTCTGAACACTTTTCCTCTTTAATATTACAATTTATCTGGCATGATGCTCTTGGCTTTTAAAAACTATTATATAATAAATATGTATATTCATATTCCCTATGAGTATTTTGCTTAAAAAATGTCATATGCCCAAAGCAGTTGGAGAATAGCCTAACCAAAAATGCTGGCTCAAACTATGAGAAGGAATTATCAAATCAGAAATGCTGCCAATTGATAGTTAAGAGGCTGAAACCTGTTACATGAGAGCTCAGGTGGGCTTCATCAGGAAGCTGATCCTTTAAACAATAAAAGTCCTACTTAACCTAAACCCTCTTGCCACCCATCCCCCATGCCCACTCCCTTCTACACACACACACACACACACACACACACACACACACACACACACACACTCTCAACCAAAAAAAAAATAGGACTCTTACTGTGCTGATGTCACTGAAATGCTAACATTCTTCATTTGGAGTACCACTGTACCAAGCTACACAATGTAATGGGAATACTTAAGGAAGAAGGGAGCTGTCCAAGAAGCAAGAGAATGCCACCATTTGGTGGTGGTGGTGGGAGGGGGGTGTATCTCATGATAACCACAGCAACTAGACTACTTAGGAACGACGTGCTCACACACGAATACAAGTAGAGGACAGAGAAACAGTATTACCTGGCATCTCTGGAAAATAAAAATGTGTCAGGCAACAAGAACTCAGCCTCCAGAGCCTGGAAAGATGATATGGGCTTATAGGGCTGCAAGAAGGAATCTTCCCTGGCACCAGGGACACAGAAAAACTAGTCTTTGCTTTCCTTTCCAAAAAAACCCTTAAACGCTGAAAAAAATCTTTTCCAAAAGCACTGGATCCTTTGAAGGTGAGTACTGCTATTTTATTCAAACCTCTAGATGGCTTTCTGAGCACACTTATTTAAAGGACTAGTAATTAACTTTCCACAAACCATTTTCCCAAATGACAGAAGTTTTAATTATTTAAAAACTTTTTATCAAATTCTGTGATTCTACAAACCTAAGTTTTGGTAATAAGACATCATCTTGGTAGGGTCCTTCTATACATTAACATTTTTTCCACTTTCATTATTATCACTGAATATAACTTATTTATTGCTTTTCAATATACATCATTCCTACCAAAAGAAACACACAAACCCAAATTCAAAGACATTTTAAATCCTGAATCAAACTGAGTTTCAGGAAAAATTTTAAACTGTGTGTCCAATACATTAGCTTGACAGGCTAGATCAGATATTCTGAGCCTGGTATCCTTTCCTTGGGTTGGGGGGGAAGGGGGGAGGGCTGTGAACTTGGATGGGAAAAAAATACATCTTTATTTTCATTAGCCATTGGTTTCTTTTGTTGTTCTATGATTTCATTTTATGGATTTAAAAACATTACTCTGAGAAGGGGACCAAAGGTTTCTTTAGATTTCCAAAGGGTTCCTGACACACAAAAAGAGTTTAAAAATCCTTGGGCTAAACATATAAACCTTTTTGCCAAATACTACAGGTTTGCATAAGAATCATAATTTTAAAAAAACAAAACCTTTATACAACCTGGATCCTTAACTCTTAACATATCCTCGTTTGGTTTGTTTTGTTTTCTCCTCCATCTCTATTTCTAATCCTAGCCACCTTTTAAGTTTTAGGGTGAAGGACTAAGACTGAATGGAGATGTACTTAATTTGTCTATAATGCTTAATTTGGTACACTGAAATGCAATTTGATACACAATTTAAAATCTTTCCTAAAAAAGACTGTATAAAATACATTCATGTGTATGCGTTCACACACACACAACCAAATAACCAGTGAACTAAAAATGTTAAAACTTCACAAGGTTTTTAGGTTTGAAAAAAGTCTCCAAGTATCTAGTGAACTATTATACACCAAGAAATATATCTTGCTCACAATGTTATCACCAGAAGCATATACTAAAAAGAATAGAGGGTTTTATGACCCACAGAATACACGCCCAGTCAAAGTACTCACTAAACATCATTACTGAGGTCTTTAATATTAGATTTTCTGATCCTTGGGCACTGTGCTGCCACATCTGATATTGCATATTTTTTCCTTATTTCATTTCAATATCTCATTCCTTATCCTTTGGCATTAAGAAATTTTATCACCTTCATTAGCTACCTTTCACTGAGTTCTGTGGAAGCAATACATTTCTCATTCACTGAATACCATACAGAAAATGTATCTACATAATATTTATTTCCTAATTTTCTAAATATATAAATTTGAATGTTTTCTCAGCTATAACAAGGAATTACTTTTTATGTAGAAAAACAGAAACCTAAATACCTTGTTGTTCCCTTTAAGGGGAGGAAGAAATAAAAACAACACCTTGGGAAAGTTTTTTAACGGATGTCTCCTTAATTGTCACTTATTTTAATAACATACCAAGATTCTTAAAAATTTATTTTACAAGTCCCATTTACTTCCAATAAAAAATAACAACACCCACTCACTGAACTGAGGTGTACGCTCCTATTAACCCCAAATTATCAGTTCTCAGTAGGCAAAGATAAACCAGCAAAATGCTAAAAAATATTAGCAAAAAAAAAAATCAGATACATTTCAAGCAAAGGTCAAGAAACCAGGTTTCAGGATGAAAATTATCCAATTATGTAGATGATGGGATGATCTTATATTGCCATTCTGGGATTAAAACATTAATCAAACTGAACTACTCAAATGTATACTATATCCATTAGGCTACTTATTGATATGTCTAAATCAAAAGATATTAGTGTGCCTGCCAATATGTGTCCAAAATCTATAATCACACTGATACAAAGAATTTCCAGTGTATACTATATATCCCAACATGTATTAGCAAATATCATATATTTATACCTGTGTTCAACAACCCCCAAAATAAATTACAATGACCTTTATACGGATTCTAAAAGGACTTTGAATGCTATCCAAATTAGAATGTTCTTGTAAACACAGCAGAGTCCTCTTTATGTTCAAGAAGTACAGATGATATAAAATAATATTTTTAATTAAAATTTGGTTCCAGCATTGATATAAATGACTTTAAGACATATCCTTCATTCCTCAGCCTCTCTCTAGCCTTTATTTCACTTTCTGCTCAGCTCTACTGATACAGACAAGGAGAGAATAGACACCATGAATAAGCAACAATTTGAATAATCAAGTTAAGTATTAAATGTCGTTTCCTCTTGTCTTCTTCACCTGGGGAGGTATGCATAAAATAAACAGTCAATGTTTTTGTTACTTATACAATCTATTCTTCTTCTTGTAATAGGTACCTGTTACAATTTTATGTTTTAACCAAGAGTCGTCAGTTGGTGGCCATGGGAGTAAAACATTTAGCAGAAATCTCTGTTTATGAAATATAGTTAGTTTTTCACAACATGACTACTATGGAAGTGTTTTGCATGACTACACATGTATAACCTGTATTGAGTTGCTTGCCTTCTCAGTGAGGGTGGGTGGAGAGAGAGGAAGGGAGAAAATTTGGAACCCAAAGTTTTATAAACAAATGTTAAAAAACTGTTTTCACATGCAACTGGGAAATAAGATATACAGGCAATGGGGTATAGAAATCTACCCTTCCCTACAGGAAAATAGAAGGGGAAGGGGATAAGAGAAGAGGGGTGGGAGACAGAAGGGAGGGCAGGTTAGGGAAAAGGGTATTCGGAATGCACGCCATCTTGGGGTAGGGGAAGGGACAAGATGGGGAGAAAATTTGTGGAAGTGAATGATGAAAACTAAAATAAACTAATAAACTAAACTAAAATTAATTAATTAAAATTTAAAAAAATCTTCCCTTATTTTGATTAGGAAATATGCCTCTAGCAAGGGTATTGAAAGATCAGATCTATATCCAAAGAAGGATGAGATCTTATAACCAAAGGCAGAATTCTTATTCTCTGACGCTCCTCTGTGTTATTTTGAGTTGAGCAAATAACCAAGAAGAAGGGAGTTGTAGGAACTCAAAAATGAAGATTAAAAAAAGGTCATGGGATTTTAAAAAAAAGTTCCACTATTACAAGATTTAGAAAACTGCTATTTAGGATATTACAAGATACAGGATCATATATATCTATATTTAGAGCTGGAAGGGACTTCAGAGGTCATCTGGTCCAGATCCCTCATCTTCCAATTAAGGAAACCTAGGTCGTAGGAAGTCATGTGACTTGCCCAAAGTCAGCAAGTTAACAATTTCCTTTCCAAAATGGGTTTTGACCCCAAGGCCTCCAACTCCAGAGCTAATACTCTGTCCAAGCAACAACTATTCATTAAATGCTTACTATTAAATGCCAGGCATTGGGCTAGGCACTGAAAATACAAATGCAAAGACTGAAACCAACCCTTCCTGCAATGAGCTTACTCTATTATTACATTCCTCTCAGTCTTATCAACAACCCCTATCACAATCTTTCACAAAACAGGCGCTTACTAAATGGCTGCACAACTATATGGAGCTATTACTTAACATACCCTTTTCAAATCTGACATTTCTCTCTCCTGGGGCTCACTTAGCACCTTCCTAAGGCTGATTTCTGCATTACACTGAAAAAAGTTCTGTTTGTTTTTAAAGGCAGAACTTTTTCCTCAAGCAGCATCAAAATGGGAGTCATCGTGCAAAACATAACTGGAAGTACCGCAATGGTGATGTGGCCAACTGTGGCCAGCTGTGCTGACAGCTTCTACAGCATTATGTACCACCCCAACTGGGATAGCATGCTGTCTGGATACTCAAGGAAGAGTTTTCAGAGGGAAGAGAGGGTACCTGCTAGCCAGTCCTCATTTGTAATTGAAAATCTAACTCCACTGACCAAGTATATTGTTTGTGTAACCTGCCAATCAGCAAACCCATCCAGTGACCAGTGCAGAATTTTTCAGACAAAGGAACAAGATCCATCATCTGTGAGCAACAGAAAGAAAGACCTGGCCTTGGGGATCTGGCTGACCAGCAGCGTTCTACTCCTCATCATTGCCGGCATTCTCCTCTATGGGTGCCTGAACGTATGGTGCCGTAAGAGACAAGAACATAACGGAGGCCTAAACCGAATGCCACAACCAAATAAGAGAGAGGGCTGTAGAAACAACAGCAGCAGAGACGCGGGTGAGTTGGAGAAGTCAAGCCAACCATTGGTTCCAAACCTCGAAGATCAACAAGCCGATGAGGTCCAGCTTGCCACGATAAAAGAAAATGTCTCAACTCACATGGAACCTCCTCTGCTAAAATGTAACCACCAGCAAGGGCTGTCAGTGACAGGCCAGCCACTCCGTATCCCACAGCTAGGAGGGGGCGTAGTTTTGTAACAAAGGAGTACAAGGGCCTCAATCAACCCTCAAATCACCAAGATATATTTATGAGGTAGCAACTAAGTGGAAGGCGCTGGAAACACAAAGACAAAGAATGAAACCATCCCTACCTGCAATGAACTTACATTTTTGGTGGGGAAGATTAAAAAGTATATACAGCATAAATACAGTTAATAAACCTGACTATGTGTTTTTGGGTTCTCACCTGTACCCCCGGTTTCTTTAGCTAAAATATGGGGCTATTATCTGTCCCTGATTACTTCAGAAGTGTGAGAATAAATGAAATAAAAGTAAAAATACTGTTAGATCTTCAGTAGGAAGGTATAACATAAATCCATGCAAGAGATTTCTACCCTACTGTAGAAATAAACCATTAAGAAATAAGAGGTATCCTAAATCCTGTGTCATGTATGACTTCTACTTGGTTACATCCTTCCATGTGTTATTTTTCTTCACGTTCTACGCTTTCATGTCCTGTAATGGTTTAAAAAAAATTAAAGTTTTTAAAGAGTTTGCTTAATTCAACTGATGTGTGTGTGGTGTGTGTGGGGGAAACAAAAGAGCTCTCTGGTTAGCAAAGGCTATTATACCATTTTAATAAATAAATTTTTAAAAATATGAATGGAAATGGGGGTGTAGGGGAGAGAAAAATCAGAGGTATTTTCCTCAAGAAAAATACAACCAGCTGTGTTGACAGCTTCAACAGAATTATGTGTATGTATCACTGGTGTCAGTATTCCTTGCATCCTGCCAACAACCTGGTACTGTGATTCAACCATAACAATAGGTCCATAAGGGGCCCACACTCAAAGCTAGCCTTTATGCTCTACTGAGATAACCTCTGTAAACCTAGGGTCACATCCTCATGCTCGAAATAGGCACTAGATAGGATTTTAATATTACCACCATTATTCAAGCAAAAGGAAAGCAGAAAATGATGTATCATTTTGTTGATAACTTAAAGTACAAATACTGACTCAAACCTATGAGACTGAGTCTCTACCACTTGGCAATGATGCGGTCTGGGGTGCTAGGAACCCCTGAAATACAAGGTGGGGGGGGTCCTGCCTTGAAAGAATCTGACCACTCAAGCCTTCTTTCAGCCAGAGTAGTGAGGTTTTATTGTAATACTGGTTAGGGGGACAAGATTCCTAGTAAATCTGCTATTGTGTAGCCAATAGAAGCAAGGGACGTTCTTAGAATCTGTACAATTTAATGGGGGTAAAATTGGTATTTATATACAAGAAATGATAGTGCGACAATCTGGATGGGACTAAGTAACCTGGCCAGGAACAGACAACGAAGGAATTAAGTAGTCTGGGCTGGGTCAGAAGCCACAGTGAAAGGACGGTTAAAAGGATTAATGAGTATCTAGGCAGGCTGGGATGGACCAGATGCCTCAGGCAAAACACCAGGGACTGAGATTCTTTCAAAGATATGATCTTTTCCTTTTAGGGGTTCAGGTCCCATGATCCCATCATTAAGGTATGGAAGTAAGGAGGAAGGGAAGGAACTAACTAATGGAGGGAGGGAGGGAGGAAAGGAAAGAAGAAAAGAGCTAATAAACGAATGGGAAAAGGAAGGAAGGACTTATTAAGCACTTATTATGTCCCAGGCACTGTTGTGCTGGGTACAGAGACGTTTAAAGCATAGTCTCTGACTTCAAGAATCTTATAATCCAATCCAGTTGGGGTGGTGTGACATAAACAGCCAAACCAAGTTACCTGGAGGAATACATTCTTAAAAGAATGCCCTTTCAAACCATGTAAGTTGAAATGTTAAGTCTATGAAAAACTTGAGAAAACTGCTATTTTATGAAATTGAAGATTTAAACAAAATACCATACATATATGACATATATTCTACATATAACTTTTTACTGACCCTATGATTTCATTGGAATAGTGAACTCCAAGTGAGGAAACTCCTTTTACCTACCAATGGAGATCTGCACTCATCTTTAGTTTTAAAATCTTAAGAGCTGTCCGAGGTACTGAGAGAGTGCCTTCCCCTGTTTGGGTCAAAGACAGGTCTTTCTTTCTGGCTCTGGGGCTGGCTCTCTACCCACAACACCACCCTGACTCTCTGCAACAGAATGTACAGTAGTCTTATTAAAATCTTGTTTCTCAAACTAGAGATGAGTTCGAGGAGTTAAGAAAGGCTTGAAGAGGTAGGACAAAAACCACAGCAGAGACAAGTTTTGACTACTTTGCAATTTGAGGACTAGCCTCAAACTTCTTTCTACCTCCTACAAACCAAAGAAAAAGGAAAACCTTCTTTTGAAAAGTGACAGCCAACAGGGAAAAAAGCCCTATTTCCTTCAAACCCTGTCAATATGGAGTAGCAGGATAAGGCAGGAGTCCTGCCCATTTCTACCAATTAGAAACACATGAAGGCTACCCTCATTCTTCAAAAATAGAAGGCCTTCTCTGCCCTATTCATGGTTAAAACAGAAATCATTTATACTTTTGTTCAAAATAATTCATTCAAATCATCAGATTGCCTAATATCTATACAAAATATAAGAATGAAGAGTTTTGATTGGATGAAAGTTAATTTTGAATAATGAGATACCTGCACAGGATTATGCCCTATATTAATTTAAAAAAAAAGGAAATGTTGAACTATAAACATACTACCTTTTCATTTAATTGTTAATTCCAGCTCCTATTTAAATTACTGTAGATGCAACATTATCTCCATTCCAAGTATGCAGAATTCTACTAGGAGAGGAAATATGGTGTTGTGGATTGGAATCAGAAGAACTAAGGCTGATTGCCACTACCAATGCTTCCCAGTTATCTGGCCCTGAGCAGGTTAATTATCCTCTTTCAAGCCTCAGGTTCGGCATCTGTAAAATAGGCATAATAATGGTACCTCTCCAAAAGGGTTGTTGTCAAGGTCAAATGAGGGAATGTATGGAAAGTGCTTTAAACCCTAAAGTATAGTTTTTATCACTTTACAGTGTCCAATCCTAGCCCTTAAGTCCTAAGCTTCAGTATTAAATAAATATAAATCTCAAAGTTCCAGATGGGTTACTTGGTTTCTCTGTAGAAGATCTGCCACTTCAAAGATTTTAATTTTACAGTGATGTGGTTGTAGACCACAATTAAATGCTGATTGGGATGCTTCTCCTCTAGCTTTAATCACTTCAAGTACCCACTCAGAATTCAGAAGAACCCTCTTAGAAACAACTGACCTTCACCAAGAAAACCACAACTTCAAGGATGAACAACTAAAGTATGACTGCCCCACGGACATCTTACAGGAACTAAAGGAGACCATTACTGGACCAAGTAAGTTTCTCATACATTTATTTGATACCTATAGCAATGCCCACCACAAAAGAGGCACCCTTAAGATATAGGTGGGATGAAAGTTCAGAATGACACACTGGGGCATTCAGACAATTTTCGGATTGTTTAGTCATTGGGAAATTAGAACTTCAGGCCAAATATGACTTCAGCATGGAGTCGAGAGAGCCTGTTTCTGGGCTTGGCAGTCTCTGGTGTTATGTACTTTGGTAAAATTGGAAGAGATCCCAGTTGTACCTACATTAATATTTCACAATAAAAGCAAACACCACGTTGCAAGTTCTACATCATAGGAAGGAAGGAAATAAGCATTTATTAAGCACCTCGTAAGTGGCAGGCGCTATACTAGGTGCTTAATAAATATTATCTCATTTAATCCTCACAACAGCCCAGGAAGTGGGCTTATCTCCATTCTAGAGTTGGGGAAACAGAGGCAGACAGCGGTTTAGTGACTAGCTCAGGGTCACCCAGCTAAGTGTCTGAGGCTTCATTTGAACTCAGCTCTTCCTGACTCTAGACTTCACATTCGAACCACTGAGCTGCCAGCTGCCTATGAGAAAAGGTGACAATAACAAAGGATTTGTGTATTATTATCCCTCTTTCCAAAGATACAATACATAAGGCTGTCTAACCTTTTCCTCAGATTGAGTCCTGATCCATAAAACAATGTTTTCTTCTGCTTAAAATCACAGAACTGGAGGGAGATTTTAAGAGATTCTTCTCTGGATTTTACCCTTGAGCAGAAAAGTGTCAGATGAATTTTCATGGGAATAACTGTAAAGTAATATAAAAATAATCCTGACTTAGCTTAAAATTATTAATTTCATAACTAGGAACAGAGGAAGATATGGCTATGATACAGTAATTTATCCAAAAATGATTTATTTAGTGGGGCAGCTAGGTGGTGCAGTGGATAGAGCTCTGGCCTTGAAGTCAGGAGGACATGAGTTCAAATCCAGTCTCAGACACATGACAGCAGTGTGACCCCAACTGCCTCACCAAAAAGCAAAATAAATAAATAATAAATTAGAAAAAAGAAGATTTGGTGATTTCTGTAGACTGCAAGTTTGATGAGTCAAGCCTGTGATAGCTCCAAAAGCTAAGATGATCTTAGATGGCCTATAGAGGCACAGAATCCAACACTAGGGGGCAATCATCCTATCACTCCTTGACCCAATCAGACCACATCTAAAACACTGTTTTCAGTTCTGAGTAACAATCAGTCAAAAAGTAGTTCCTAAGTACTTGCTACCTGCTAAGCATTGTGGATGCCCTCAAACTCCCTAAATAAGCCCTGTCATGGAGGATAGCATAAGTCTATGTTCTCTTTTAAATGTCCTTCAAAATGACTGAAGACAGCTATCACGACCCCCTCGGTCCTCTCTCTCTTCTCCAGACTAACCATCTCACGCTCCTTCAATTAACATGCATAATGCATGATCTTGAGAATTAAAGACATGTCCAAGACTGTATTTATTTTGGTGGTTGTATGGGTTAGTGGGCTGGCAATAAGACTTTTGTTAGGTTAATCCTTTTTGACTTTTGTGTAAACAACATCATTTTATGTGGCTGCAAGTGTTAAACCCTAGTAAATCTGGCCTACATTTTAAAAGAACTGGGCCTCGTGCATCATGTACTAAACAAATGAATTCATACACTAGCCTCAAATTGGGGATTCCATTTAGAAGAGAATTCATATCTCTACATAAAATCCTCCTCTGATTCCTCCTCATGACATGAGTAACTTTGGGATCTCAAATGCCATTCCACTGAACCATAAGTTTCTGCAAAGTCCACTAAGTTCAAAGCATTTCAAGTGTATGCCCAATTAATTCCATAAAATGATATATTGCAGGAAGCATAACAACTGAACTTAGAGGAGGTTACAATGAAATTACAAATCTCTTGAAATAAGCAATCATAAGGAACAGAACATTTGAAACAAATGAAATGAACTACCCTTGGAAATGAAAGGTCATCCCTTAAGACTGAGCCACACTCCAGTTAAGAAATCACCTCTTTCTAATGATCCAAGAAATCAATTTAAATGTAATGCCTGCTTTCTGCTAATGAATCTGCTTCACAGTTGAGTGTTTTGGTGGCCATTCCAGCTATCCTTAAGAGTTTGATTTACCCCCACTGTAGCTCAATATCTCCTGCATCAACGAAAGCAAAAAAATAGCACAAAACAGAAAACTCT